GTGAGCCAAACATGGCTAGTTTACAGCACCAAATCTGATACTGCAAAACCATTTTTGGTACACCCTATATGAATGAGAGTTTTAAAATAATGAAAAACTAAAGACAGCTTTTCAGGACAAAAATGACGGATCATTTGCATTAAAAAAGGACACCACTAACTAGAACACTTGCTCTCCTGATAATGTCTCCCCAGTGAAAATTATGCCTTTATTTACAAAGCAGATGATCCATTGAAGTGCTTTGATGGTTTTTACAGAATTCCTAGCTAGGCAGCAGTGATTCTTATGGGCACAGAGGACAAATCCTGTTGAAAACAGATGGGGAGGGGGCAAAGCAAGGCTCCGTGTTGAGACTGACAGCAGGCTCTTAAAATTCATTTTCCCTTGAAGCTACCATGGTTTCAGACTGCTCTTCAGAGCTGTGGAAAGGTATTTTTAAAACCCCTAATTCAAATATAAAAATTTCAAAATGTGAGTGTATTTGGGCACCTAGACAAAGCAGCAATTTGTCTAGGTGCCCAAAGAGGTGCCAGAGGAAGCGTTCTACCTCTAAAACTGTGTTTATCAACAAAAAGGGGCAAAGTTAACAAGCTGCTTTTACACTTCTCTGTCGATGCCTGAACCTTGACCTTAAAATCCCATGGAGCCTGCTTGGTTGTCTTGGTGACTGTCTGCTTGCCGAAAAGGAGGATGAAGGCTGAAGACTGATACAACATTTTAACAGTTTGAACAGGAGTTTCTGCTACTGCATTCTGATTGTGTCATGAGAAGTTGCCATACACACCGGTTAAGCCCAACTGTGGTTTGTTCCATCAATCTGGCCTATCCTATGTCTTCTAGAAGGGCCCATCCTTAAAAAATACATATAGGATCTGTCTATTTTTACATTCCATCCCATTACCTTACTAAAATGTGCAAAACCATGCCGGGAAGGCAAAATGGTATTGATTTCTTGGGCACTCATCAATTGTTCAGAGGCATTAGATAGTAGCCTCCTCGGGACAACTGCAAGTCTCTTCTCGTGTGAGAGAATTACCCATCTGCAAGGATGTTGCCCAGGGGATGCCCAGATGTTTTACAATCCTTGTGGGAGGCATCTGTCATGTCTCCGCATGGAGAACTGGAGCTGACAGAGGGAGCTCATCTGCACTCTCCCCGGATTCGAACCTCCAACCTGTAGGTCTTCAGTCCTGCCGGCACAAGGGTTTAACCCATTGTGCCATCGGGGGCTCCTGGTTGCACATTGGGCTAAACCCCTGGATTGCTGAACTTTTTCAGCAATACAGTTCAAATCCAGGGAGTGGGGTGAACTCCTGCTGTTAGCCCCAGCTTCTGCTAACCTAGCAGTTTGAAAACATGCAAATGTGAGTAGAGCAATAGGAGGGAAGGTAATGGTGCTCCATGCAGTCATGCTGGCCAAATGACCTTGGAGGCATTTATGGACAATGCTGGCTCTTCTACTTAAGAAATGGAGATGAGCACCATCCCCCAGAGTCGGACCCAACTAGTCACAAGGAAACCTTTACCTTATTAGATCACAAAAGCTCTATCTGCATTCAAATAAAATAAAAGTTCAAAAAGAACCACTTTGAACTCATGCTTGATCAGAAACAAGCAACTGTACTAACTAAAGAGTTTGTACTTTCAAATCACTACTACTACTTTTTAAATTATGTTCATACAAAGATAATGGGGAACACCTGGCTTGATACCAGTACGTGTGAAAAGATCTTGGAGTCCTTGTGGACAAGTTAAAAATGAACCAACAGTATCATGCGACAGCTTAAAAAGCCAATGGGATTTTGGCCTGCATAAATAGTATCGTCTAGATCCAGGGAAGTCATGCTACCCCTCTATTCTGCCTTCCTCAGATCACATCTGGAATACTGTGTCTAATTCTGGGCACTGCAATTAAAGGGAGATATTGACAAGCTGGAATGTGTCCAGAGGAGGGCGACTCAAATGATCAAGGGTCTGGAGAAGCAGCCCTATGAGGAATGGCTTAAAGGGCTGGGAATGTTTAGCCTTCAGAAGAGAAGGTTGAGAGTTGACATGATGAGGGCCTGGTATAAAGAGGTGAGAGGAAGTCACAGGGAGGGAGCAGGCTTGTTTTCTGCTGCCCTGGAGACTAGGACATGGAACAATGGCTTCAAATTACAAGAAAGGAGATGCCATCTGAACATTAGTAAGAACTTCCTGGCTGTGAGAGCTGTTCAGCAGTGGAACCCTCTGCCCCAGACTGTGATGAAGGCTCATTCTTTGGAGGCTTCTAAACAGAGGGTGGATGGCCGTCTGTCTGGGGTGCTTTGTATAACATTTTCCTGCTTCTTGGCAGGGGATTGGATTGCATGGCCCACGAGGTCTCTTCCAACTCTATGGTTCTATTATATGAAAAGGAAAAGAAGACAGAGGAAAAACTTATCCATTATAAATTTAGGAATGCTCATAACTTGTCTATTGGTGGCGATTATTTCTTGTACACAGAAATTAACGGTGATGGACCCAAAAAAATACTTGAGAAATTGGACTTGCATCCAATAGCTCTGCAGTGCCATTGCACCAAAATACATGCATGTCCTTTCAGTTTCACTATTTTCTCCCTGTGCAAACACTCCCCAAATCCTGCAATTCCAGGGCTCACAGCTCATTGCCCGCATTTGTAGCAGGATGAGCAGTTTCTAGCAACAGGCCTTCAAAAGCAGGATTCCTTGAACTATGACATCTTAGATGTCTACCCAGTGTTTTTTTTAACCATCCAGCCAAAGCAAAGTGCACAAGAATGAGCAAACAGCTTGTTTTAAAAGAAAGGATGCCTGTGTGGCTTTAGATGACATCAAAATGACACAATGAAGAATGTGTCATGCTGTTACAGCACTGAAAAAATAAGTACAGTTCATCCATGACAGCTCTTCCTGTGGATATGGTCTGCTTTTTGACTTTCTCTCTGCAAGCCACAATTTAAAGCTTTTTTGTCAGGCTGCATGTAGCACAAGGGTTTGTTTGCTTACATGAATGCCTCTGTGGTTTTTGAATATTATAACTAAAAGAAATCAAAGACTGGGGAGAGGATGAAAACATTAAATGCTGCCGGTGAACACCTTCTAGCAAACACATAATATGGAAGCCCAAACATTCTTGCCCAACAGCCAGAAAATGAAGAAAGCATAGGTAACAGAGGGGAAAGAACACTCAAGACTAAGTTATGAAACCTCTTTCTGACTTCCATAGCTTCTTTTCATCTCTCTGTTTTAGCCAGATTCCAATTTTGTTCCATCACAGCTGGAGAAACTGAACTTCTAGACCAGAAGCCAGTTTGTAAGTCGCATGTGGAGGGGGAAAATATATTTGCCTCTTATCTGAAATACACTCTACTTATGAAAGAAAATAATTTGATTTAATGTCTGAATAATATATACATTGACATAAAACAATGAGTGGCCTATAGTTTGCTTAACCACTGTTGATGCCGAATACTTTGATTTCAAACACAAATGGAAAAGACTGCTAGCAGCCCTGTGACAGCAAGGAACTCCTTTTCTGGTTGGAAATCCAACTGAGTCCAATTAAAGATCTATTTTAGTTGGATAATTCCCTCTACCTCTATATATATTTCAAATGTTAATACAAAAACAAAGGGATAAAGGATATCTAACATTTAATATCTGCATCCACTCTCCCCATGTTACTGATGTTAACTACTACATAAGCCAGCTTTTGCTTGTTAATGAAGCTTGAGTATTTGCTATATGCAGTGGTTCTCAACCTGCAGGTTCCCAGGTGTTTTGGCCTACAACTTCCAGAAATCCCAGCTAGTTAACGAGCTGTTAGGATTTCTGGGAGTTGCAAGGCCAAAACATCTGGGGACCCATGGGTTGAGAACCACTGTTCTATAGGATCCTGTGATGTAAATATAATAGGGACCCAACTAGGGCTGGTTTATAAACTGCACAGCCCACCACAGGATGTATACATAAATAGTCTCATACTGGTCGCTTATACAACCTTCTGGGTTTATTTGTACATTAAGAAAAGACAAACAAGAGTATTTATTCAATCTATAGCAAAAAGCTAGAGATCAACCTGTGGGTCCCCAGATGTTTTGGCCTTCAACTCCCAGAAATCCTAACAGTTGGTAAACCTAACAGTTGTGGGCCAAAACATCTGGGGACCCACAGGTTGAGATGCACTGCTTTGGAAAATGATGACACTGGGGGAAAATGGAAGGAAAAAGGAAGACTAAGGGCAAGATGGACGGATGGTATCCTTGAAATGGCAAGTATGACCTTGGAGGTGGGGTGGCGAAAGTCGATAGGGAGCTCTGGTGTGGGCTGGTCCATGAGGTCATGAAGAGTTGGAAACAACTGAACGAATAAACAACAACATAGCAAAAAGGAGTCAATACTGTTGTCCTATCAAAGTATCAAAGCTAGACTTCTTTGCCCAAAGTGGGGAAAGGAGTACCAGAACTAGTGGTTGGCCGTACTTTACTTAGGCCCAAAAGGTACAAGAAAAAAAGACGAGGAGGAGCTTGTTTTGGTATTAAGGCACTATTTGGATTCATTGAGGACATCAAGACTTTTAGATAAATGTGTCAGTATGCAGTTAAGATACTACCTCCTTGATTTTTGAGTTCATACATTAAGATAATATCATAGGATAGAGGGGAAAAAAAGATAAAATAACTTTGTGTAATAGCTATCAAATACAACTCCTTCTCAGGAGAAGCATCAATGGATCGGTATGGGAATGGACTGATCAGGTCACATAGCATATTCTAACAGTGTGCCCAGGACTAACTCACAAAGATAATTTTGTTGAAATGTTTAGCTGCCGAAGGGCAGACTTCAATTCAAACAAAGAATTTAAGGGAAGTAGTTCAGTTTTGGTGCAGTGTTTATTGCTCTTAAATTATATGAGCCACAGCAAAAGAGCTTCTGGTGCCTGTTTTCGCAGCAATAAGACTATACACAAGTGGGCGCAAAGACGAAAGAAGTGAAAAGTACTGTTGTAAGAAGTTTTAATTTAAAAAAAGAGAATTTCAACAGTGCCTAAATCTTTATTTTTCATAACCTACATATTTAGACAGTTGTACATTTTATGACACAAAAGGAAACTTAAATTACCAATAGTTTACATGTAAGCTTGATTCCAGTCTTAAATGGAAGAACGAAAACAAAAAACAAAAACAAACACACTTAGGAAAAAAAAGGCCTCCATATAACACCTCCTCTTTTGTGTCTTGGCAGCTGTTAGCTCGCAGGTGTCTTCGATTGTCTGCTGCTATCAGTGTAGTAAGTTACACAATATGTGAGAAATGCAGCTAGCTGAAAGCAACACAGTTATGACCATGGACCCTTTGGGTCAGTGGCTGTTGCTCATGATCCACTGCATCTCTTTGCCAACTGGTTATGCCTTCCGACAAGAGGCAGCAAAATTAAGAACATAAAGAACAAAATGGAGCTTGACAATTTCTTGGCTGCTCTATGACAGTATGCAAAACAGGGGAGGGCACAGGTGAGGCACCCTGATGTAAAGTTATTGTACGCGTTAGGTGTTCAGAAGCAAAAACATTTTGTCTTAAATACATTCCTTGAACAAATTACACTTCCCTATCAAAAGCAAGGTAATCCTACAACTTAAAGAAAAGAAAACAAGCTGTAATTGGTTCCTACCATTTAAACCTGCAACTCAGATTTCGGGAGAGGTTTTATTTTTATTATTATTATTAGAAAAAACAACAACAACAAAATACCAGATTTGAATAGCTGTATGTAAACAATCCGTAGGGTATCCACTTTTGTGCCAGCATCCCCAGATTATCTGAAAGGTAGGTATTAAAGTGAAGGGAGACATTTATTTGGCATTTAAAAATGTTATCACAGTAAATTCTTAAAATTCTTTTTGTGGGCTGTTACTGGGGTATGGATTACAGTGTATTAACCTAACAGAAGCAGCAGCAACATACATTAGTACAGCGCGACTCACCTGCTGGTCTGCATATATTATGTTGACTATATAAGTTGGCCATTGATTTGACATACAACTTGCCATGACCACTGCCCAATTTGCCTGCCACCTTTTTCCTTTATACTCTCAGCAGGCAAACAAAGAACTGTCACAGCTAGCCTCAACCACATCCCAGTCTGTCATTTTTCACTGCTCGCTGGGTAGAGGATAAAGACTAAAATTCCAAAACAGTACTAGATTGGAGGTTTTCCCTGGTGTTTAGAGTCCCCTTCTTCTCCTGCATCTTTTCCAAGTACAGTATGCCTTTCCCAGAAAGTCACAAATAGATCCCAGCTTGCTTCTTTTTTAAGTTTTGCAGTGCCAAAAAGCAGGCTGGTTTTTTATTTGGTGTTTTGTGTATGATTTTGTTAGCGGGAAATTAAAATAGCAGCAATCTATGTCAGGAAATCAATTGCCCTGGGTCTCTTGAGATATGTGGAACTCTAAAAGCCTCGATATGTACTGGCTAATTTTTGGAACTAAGAGTGGTTTGGGCTATGTGTCTCTTACAATGTTGTTTCTTTCCAATTCAGTTGAAAACAAAACAATCACTGCAGCTTGTTAACACAAAGTGGAAAAATTACAGTGCACAACCAAGCATCACATTGGTTGAAGTGCACACTTCCAGAAAGTTTTAAAAATGCCAGGGCTTTTAAGACAGACTTTCTCCAATTCCCTTTTGCAGTGAAGATGCAGAATCAGCTCAGCACACCAGTATAAAGTAAAAGAAACAAGGAAAAAAAACAAATTAAAGTAATATTCAAACCACAACATTTAGTTTATCTACATCCATCTCAACAGCAACATTTATAATATATCAATAATTTTTATCAGTTTTTTTAATGGTACCTTTTTATATGTTCTGATTATTTACACCTGTACAAGCAAAAGCACACACTTCCAAGTGCACATATTTAATACAGTATTGACTATTTCCATTTACAGATTTTTTTCAACATTTTGAAAAAAAGATCAACTGCTTAAGATCTTTTAAGGTATATTACAAAAACTGCCGCTACTACCTGTACTCTACAGTATGTTTACCCAGTAAGACCAGTGACAATACATACATACTGTAACTGAGTAATTCTGTATATGCCACCCACACTAACCCTGGAAGGGGTCAGACTTCAGTAACTCTAAGCTGTCTTATACAAAAGTTAAGGCAAAGTCATTTTTCAAGTTTAAATAAAATTCAAGTCTTTAAATATTGGATGGAAATAATTCTTTTTAAAAAATCAGTTGTTTAAATAAACCTTTTTTTGTGTGTGGAATAATCTGTATTCAGCAGGAATACATTTTCATCTGAACCATCTGCTGCTTCAACACTCAAAAAAGAAAAAAAAACTTTAGGCATTTTAAAACAAAAATAATTTATATTCAACTTTATTAGAAACTGGTTAATTTAGTGCATCCTTGTCCTTCAGAAAGCATGTTCACTTCTAAAGTAAGCAAGTGTGAAAAACCTCACCCCAGACAGAAACAGGGATCTCTTCCTTCCAACATACATGCACACACGCACACACAAAAAAGAATTCCATTATCTCATGGACTTTAAAAAAATTAAATCCATATGCCAATGTTCATAGGTACAGAAAGGTCTCAGCACTTAGGCTGATTAAGATATGAACTCTTTCAAAGAGCACTTTCAGCATTGTTTTAAAAACCTACACAGAGCACAGGGAAAAATCAGAAAAGACAGCGGTGGCTCAAAAGTAATTTCCTCTGGCTAAAGGGAAAAACTGAGATCCTCATCACGCGAATGCTATTGTGCTGTCTTGTGATAAACAGCCATTAGCTGGCATCTGCCATTTACAAGGGCTTATGCATTTAATTTTTTTTTATTCACAATGTGCTTTTTTTCCTTTTTTTTCTTTTCCTGAAATTCAAGGAACCATATTATTCTGGATTGAGAAGCTGGTTACTTGCTTGCAGTCCATCAAAAGAAATATTTTAGAGAAGGCTCACAGGCAAATTTTATGGAGGTTCACATTTGGCCAAGAAAAAAAATGTCAATTTTTAAAATAGTACAATCAAGTATTTTTTTTTTCAAACTTAAAAAGTTCAGTTTATTTACTGATATGCTACAGCAGCCAGAATTTTAAAAAGAAACAAGTCAAATTTGTCTTATAAAACACCTGTTTTTTTCCTTTTCCATTCTAAATATTAGCTGCTACTATTAGTCTTCTGATTTATTTTATTTGTATATGTAGATTGGTTATTTAAAAACTACAGCAGCACAATTCTGCTTAGTAGATTAGGAAACAACTCATTAGACAGAGCTTGTGTTCACACAGCAACATGGAGGCTTAATAAAAAAATTGATTTTTCAGACAAATGCACCTTCCATCTAGGAACAAAAAAAGGATTTAGGCATCACCTCCAGTTCAGCACCAACCAAAGTGTAAGGTTTAGATTAATTAAACCCTGACAAAGTAGACTGTTTGCTCAAGGGCGATTTGGTGGGGGAGCAAGGAAATTGGAGGAGCAATCTATTTTACAAAGGAAGAAAAACAAAAACAAAAAGCCTTGCAGGCATTTTGTATGATTAATACCCACTGCAAGCGCCTAACCAGCAACTCGTTCTTTGTATTTCTGAGTGGCAACATAGGTTTACTTCATTATCAAGAACTTTTCTGAACTCCTTCCTAAGCGCTTGTTTCACTGAGGTGATTTGGGAGGAGTGCTCTGTTCTTTCGTCGGGCGTTTCACAACCGCTGGAGGTGGCGACCGGCGTCCTGACTGTCTTCTCTGGTCTTTGGGCTGCCCTGGAGTAGACTTCAGAGGAGGGGCTTCTTTGCTTCGCTCTAGTGTTTCTGTGGGTTTCCTTTCCTCCTTCCCACAACCCACAGTGTTTGGCTTCTGTTCTTTTGGGGGCTGAAGGGAAGGTGGGTCTTTAGACGTCCTCTGGCAGATCTCTGCATAACTAGGTTTCCGTAATTCCTGTGTGATCAAAAGGAGAAAGCTATAGCACCAAGCAGTGGCTCTGTGTGTGCATCTGTGAGCTAAATAAATCGTTGACCAAAAGAAACTTTCCCTAACCAGCAGAATCGACTGTGGTCCCACAACAAACCGAGAGAAAACTTTATGAATGAGACAGTTCTTCAATTAAGGATGGGGAAAACACTGGGTTTAGGGAACCAATTTTCTGTGGGAGGATTGCCAAAAATCAAAGCAGAAAGCTACCACTGGGGGGGATCACCACATCCCTACCTATTTAATATCTTCCTGGAGCTTTCAGGGAAAGACATACACATATTTGAGAGAGGGCATAACAAGAATAGTCAAGGAGTCCGAAGGGACCCAAGGCCCCCCAAAAAGTCTAAGGAGACTTATGTAGCCTCTGTGCTGTATGCTCCTAATCAAGGAAAGTAGCTACCAAAGAACTCAGGGAAGTACATCCTTTCCATTAAGAAATGAAACTTCAATATCAAACCAATTAATAAGAGCTCCACTGTAAACTGGATTATTGGGATGCATAAAGGGAACCTTAAGAATTTCAACATGTGGTAAGTGTCTATAGGAGCTGATAAGATAAAGCCTTTGACATTTTTTTTCAGGGGATTGATAAAATTGGTAGGAATCAACAATGTAGAGTGGCATATTTTTTGGTGATACATTTTTGTTTAATTCTGCCATTTGAAAATAGCTAACATTTTATGCTTTTTTCGATAACATTGAGAGAATGAAGATACCAGAAACTGTACAGATTTTGAGCTTTTCCCTCACCCACTTTCCACTTACTCCTCCAAGTGCTCAATAATGCAAGCATTTTTAGTTTTGTGGAGTGGGGACCACTCAAAACATTAAAAAATAAAGAGAAACAGACAACAACTTATAGAGGCCAAACTGTACTTACTGCCACAGCAGCCCCATTGACTTGTACTGATTTACAAGCGGTAGTGAGCACAGAAGAAAGTCTTTCAATATTTTGTGTCTCTCTCTGCTGCTTGTCCACAATTTTGGGGTTACTGCAATAGATAAAAAGAAACGCGTCAATATATTGCAAAACACCCAACTTTGCATTTGGGTCAAATCAAAATGCAGAAGATGGCAGCAGTGATAAAGCTGTGATGTACTGATATATGCTTTGCAATTTCCATGCAGAAATGTTTAAAGGATTAGTCTTTTTTCTTGTTCAGGGTGAAGGTTTGTTTTATGGCCATGTGCGCCCCCCCCCCCCCCCCCCCCCCAAGACATCTTAACACTGCACTTTGAATAAAATTCTGTGATATCCCACTTTGGAGTCATAACAACTCCAGCTGAGAAAGTGAACCTCTCTGTATTTTAGGGAATAGATAGGTCATTCACTGCCTTACTCAACTGCATGCATTTTTTTTCAATACAACAGATGCCCTGAAAATTAGTTTTCATGTGTGCATAATTTAAAAAAGAAAACCATATTTCTAATCTGATGGTGGTGGTCACACACGGGGTATTATTTACCACCAAACTGTTCAACAACTAGTCACACACTTCCACATCTGACCCTTTGAGGATAAAAAATGCAAACTGTTGACTCTGATCAGCATATTTAAAGCTATATATAATGAAGTCCTTACTCAGGAGGTTGGGACGGGGAAGGAGACCTTTCAAACGTCCCTGGCAGAGTAGAAGAAACTGGCAACAAAGGTTCTCGAGGAATTCCAGGTGGGATAGTGTTTGTATTTACATTGACGTTGAGAGTCTGAAGAAAGCAAAGTTTGGGTCATTTTCTAAAATGCTTCAGTTCTGCCAAAGAATACATAAATAAAATAAACAAGCCCAGCACTGTCATAGAATGACAGCTAAGCAAAAAATGACTACATCCCCCAATCTACTCACAAATTTATTAAACTAATTCTAGAGTATAAGAGAAAAAGACTGAATACACTTCAATATTCCAATTACAGCAATGTGATCGCGTCAAAATAAACACTTAGATAAGGAAGTATTCCATCCAGTTACCACAAGAGACTGCTATGCTATACCAAGTTCAGGAATTATTGGGTTCTGATTAAAAGAATTGACAAAAGACACTTCCCACAAGGTGAGTTTTTATTTTTGAAAGATGATTTTCCTTGGTTGCCTTTGTGCTGTACAATGTAACTATCAAATAGACGAGTATTTTTCAAACTCTGCTCCTCCACGTGTTTTGTACTTCCAGAAATCCCAGACATCTTACCAGCTGTTAGAAATTGTGGGAGCTGAAGTCCAAAACATCTGGAGGAGAAGAGTTTGAGAAACACTGATATGGAGAATGCTAGACTCTAAGGGAAAAAAGGATGGTGACAAGATCTATTTATACCAGTGGTTCCCAACCTTTTTTTTGACCAGGGACCACTCTCCAACGGTAGTACCAAAAAGGTTATGAATCAGTTTTTGGTCAACTTAGATTCGGTTTGGTTATTTGGGGGCTGATTCAGAGAATTGTACTGGATAAGCCATCTCGCAGTGAGAGTACTTCAACGGCCTAGTTCCCTGCTGCCGGCTATACCAACACCTGCATGGGGCCATAGCAACACTTCTTCGGCCCTGCTGTCTTACAACTCCTGGGCAGAGTGGCTCCATGACCGCACAGCCTTGTAGAAAGAGTAGTTCAACAGCCTGGCTGCATGGCCATAGCAAAACCTACTGAATGAGTCCTTGTGCCTTTATTGTAGAAGATCAAGAACAGAATGAAGTCCAAAGAACGTAGTACACAAATCAGAAACAATTATAATTCATAAGCCACTCTGAGTCCCCTTCAGGGTGAGAAGGGCAGCATATAAATGTAGTAAATAAAATAAATAATAAATCAGCTCTAGTTTCTGATACAGAACATATGCCATCCAGTAGTCGCCATCTGCTCACTCACAGAAAACCATATTTAATAAGTCTCGCCACTATAAGAAGGTTTCACGAGACCAGTCGCTCTTGTTGCAATGGTGTAATAACGGTGAGGCCACGGACCATATTTTAGTTCTTGCGAGAACCACTGATTTATACTAAATAAAAAAAAAATTCTTACGTTTGCTCAGTTGCACTTTTAATTAGAAAATTTAAAAAACCCTGAACTAGGAGGTCCTCTGACCAAGTACTGAAGCAAGTCACATATCAGTGTTGACAGTATGAAACAAGGATCACTGCTGGTCTGATTGTAAGCTTGGTAGATGCTTACAACTGACTGACCTGAACATCTCTTATACCAGCTGACATAGATTTGTCTATTATATTCACAAGTAAGTCAGTTACATCAGTTAAGCAAAATGAATTTTTAAAAGGCAATCACATCAGACAAATTTGCAACTGAACACTAATTCTTTTTGTCACAAGCAATGCTGATGAAATTCTAGAAGTATGATCCATAAAGCGGAAAGGCAACTTCTGGTTTTTCCCATACTTACTTTTTCTTTTGATGAAGCGACTACCACACTGGATAATCGGTTTTCAAACAAGTCTTCAGTCTTTAGGTTACCAGCAGCACCAGGCAACGGAGGGAAACTGGACAATCCCAACTCAAAACTTGGAGAGGGAGGTTTTGGAGGCGGTGGAGACTGTGTCTGTCCTCTCTGGAAGACAAGGATAGCACTCTGATTCACTGGCTATGATCCAATTGTAGTGCATGTAGGAAAGCAATTATTCTGTACAGAAAGGCCTGTTCACATGCAGGGACAAGGATTGCTCAGACAGGATGCCAGATAGTTACAGATGATCAAATGCCCAATCTCAAAGGTTTCTAATGAGTGAACCTGCAAAGTCTAAACACCCGTTCTTTCATTATTCAAGTAAACACATTCTTGAGTGTGTCCTACGTTATAAACACAATAACTTCATAATCAAAGAGAACCTTGAATCAACTACATTCATCTCATCACACTTGGAAGTTGCTTCAAACAGCTGTTCTTATTTATTTATGTTACGTCAATAATTCCACATAATGTTGTGTTACTACACGTCATCAAACTTCTGTCATCCTTAAACAACTTGCCATTAACGCTCACCGTAAACTTGTCTTCTCTCTTCTTTCGATAGCCGTATGAGTTTTTTCTGGAGGAAAAAGAGTAATTGTCATTAAAAATTTACTCTTATTTATGAGTTATGAAAATCCTGGCCATGTATAAATATATGAGGGGAAGTCATAGGGAGGAGGGAGCAAACTTGTTTTCTGCTGCCCTGAAGACTAGGACGCAGAACAATGGCTTCAAACTACAGGAAAGGAGATTCCACCTGAACATTAGAAAGAACTTCTTGACTGTGAGAACTGTTCAGCAGTGGAACTCTCTGCCCCGGAGTGTGGTGGAGGCTCCTTCTTTGGAGGCTTTTAAGCAGGAGCTGGATGGCCATCTGTTGGGATGCTTGGAATGTGATTTTCCTGCCTCTTGGCAGGGGGTTGGACTAGATGGCCCACAAGGTCTCTTCCAACTCTATGATTCTGTGTACTGTGATGTTTAGTAGGCCAAATCCAGGCGAAGGAAAGGCACGGTCCGTTAAACAACGAACTCAGCAACCAAGTTCACTGGATAATCTTGAGCCAGTAACTATCATTTGACTTATGCTACCTCATTGCATTGATAAGGAAAGATAAGGTAAAAGGACACAAGAACATCATGTAAAATACATCATGACTCCTTAGTGATGCCAATGCAACTTTTCCAGGTCAGGTAATCCATTAATCCTGTTCCAAAAGACGATGCTGAGTAATGTAGCATTCCATTTGTGCTGCTTTACTTGTTTGTCACCCTCCCCAAGTGCTGGAATTCTTGAATTCCAGAAACCTTATAATACCTCAATTAAATGAGGTTTCATAACTTGTACCTGAAGATTATGTATCAGCTAGGACTTCAAAGTGTTATTTCATGAAATGCTTCAACTGCATTGTTTTGTTTTTCAGAGAGTAAAGTCAAATCCTGATGCTCATTAAAAACATGCGTGTCAACTATTTTTAGATATTAGAGAAGATCTATGCTTATTTTCCAATCATGACAACCACAGCCGCTTTGATAAATAACTTAAAGTTTGTGACAACTCGTTTTGGCTAGCAGAAAATATTGCTATGCTAATGCACACTGCAGAACACGAGCAGTCTCTTCAGCATCACATTTTATGTTTTGGTGTAGATTTGTTTCTAGATATAAAAAAAGGCAACTGGATGCTACCAAGTCTTTGTATTTGCAAAAAAACCTTTATGTTGCCGGTCACTCAATGCTTCAGAAACCAGACAATTTAAATCTTCTGCAGGTTAGATATTATAGTGGCAAATAAGGACTATGGGAAGTTGCACAGTAATGCCAGTGTACAAGGGTGTATAGCTGAGACAGTAATTTTACAACAGTCTGTAAAAACAGGTTTATGGAAACATTAACTTGCTATTACCACTAGAATGATAAAACTCACATTTGATTCTCAGGGGAAAAAATTCCACGGGTTGCAAAAACCCATGCAAAGTTCTTAAAAAGTGTCTGGGGTGCCAGCACTGGAATCAAACCAGATTAAAACTCAGAGACAGCTGCAAATCAATGTTAACAAAGTGAATGGTCGAATGAGCATCTCCACTGCTCTGAAGGCTATTATGTATTACACACATACACACAAAGCAGTGCCTATCCAGGCATCACACATCTCTTCCTAATCTAATTCCCAGGTTTTAAATTCTTGTCCACAGAATAAGCCCATACTCACAAGTCCCAATGACACATTATCTGTTCTTTATGATAAAGTTTAACCACTTTGTATCTAACTGAAGAAACAACAATAGGGTTAAAGGATGAACTCCCTAATCCAGGAGTTCTCATACTATGCTCCGCTGAACCCATGGGGCTCCACCAGTGATAGTGAGGGCCTCAGCGGCGCCATGCTGCTTCCCACCTCCCTCTCTGTCTTCCTCCTGAGAATGCAGGGAAACTGAAGTTTTGAGCTGCCAGAAACAACGGCAGTAGCAGCAGAAGCATCCTCCAGGGACACAGGCCCTTTCTCCCCTGCCTCACTGACTGCCCAGAACTCTTTTCCTTGCCGCCCAGACTCTTACCTTCCCTGCCGCCCAGACATTTTACCTCCCTCACTGCCCAGATGCTTTTTCTTGCCACCCAGAACCCCCCCCCCCCCCGGCTTTCTTTGCTTCCTAAACCCTATTTTCCTCCCACCGCTCAGGGGATGCTTTGATTGTGTTTTTCCTGCAGCACAGATGTGGGGTGGACTGGATGGCCTCTGGGGTTTCTGCTATTGTTATTAATATTATTATTATTACAAGGCTGGATGGCCATCTGTTGGGAGTGCTTTGACTGTATTTCTTCATTTTAAATATTGTATTGTTCTTTCTTTCTTTCCCTTTTTTGCATTGTGTTAATTACCGGAAGACCCTCTACCCAGAGAGACACTGCCCCTGTGACTTGGGTCAAACAGAAACAACTGAGCATGTGCTCCTCCAGTCTGTTCTACAGGAACATTCAATCCAGACTCATCTTGCTTCTGCTATTTAATTACCTGGGCCATTCAGGACAATTTTACACCACCTTGCTGCTTTCACATACCAACTCAGTTATATCCTATAATGCTGCCTCCCTCTCCATCCCCTTCTAGTCACTTCCCTTCACTAAATAGTTTTTGTGCTTTAGCCTTCAACATAACTGTTTTCTAGATTTTGGATTTTAATGTGCAATGCTTCTGAAATTGTACCCCACTCTCCTTATGTTGGTCTATGACCATAATATGTAAAGATTTTTTGTGTTAATTAGTTCACACAAACACTCTCCATCCATATTCCACTGGCCCAGTCCATGCCTGATACACACACACTATATATAATATAATAACATTTCTTAGGACTCCACACAATCCTTTTGCTTAAAAAAGGGCTCTGTGGCTGAAAATGTTTGCAAACCCCTGCCTAATTCATGAACAGTTTTGATGCAATTTATTTTAAAATGTATATTGAGGTAACAGATTGCAGTAGCTCAAATAAGAGAAGGAAGTCTCGCTTTTACTTTGATCTGCTTATTCTTACCATCATGTTACTACCTAACTTTTTCAAGTTCATCCCTATGCTTGCTAATATTGCATTGTGGCTCTTAAACACATGGATATTCTCCAGTGTTTTGGTTCCTTCCTTCCTTTAAACAAAATGCTTAAAACCGATTTTCTCCTTCTTTACCCAATTAATTGCCATTACCTCTACGACATATGTGAACTCATAATTTACTGTTTACCTAACCCTCCCTTACTACACTATAGAAACACATCACTTGACTGACCTTTGTACAACATTTCACCAACACTGATAACTACCTAGATGCAATACTCACCTTCCTCTGCCTAAACTTGGGGATGCGTCTGAAGTGGTGGGTTCTACGCGTCCACTGCCTACTTCTCGCTTGGTATAAGTTGTTGTATTTTGCATCCGTGTTCTATTTTGCCCTGGCTGTCTTGCTTGTGGGCTTCTGACACCATTGATTAAACGATCAGCAGAAAAATTAAATATTGTAGGGCTCTCTAAAAGTCCAGTCCCTCTGTCTGCACTGGGTATTGTATGTCGTATATGTGATTTGCTGGGATTTCTGGGGGAAAGAACAAATCATATTTTCACTGTCATATAAAATCTTTAGAACTTTCTCTAGAGTTTTTTCAAGGGTGTAGGTTTCTCTAGAGCAGTGTTTCTCAACCTGGGGGTCGGGCCCCCTGGGGGAGATTGTGAGGGGGTGTCAGAGGGGTCGCCAAAGACCATCAGAAAGCATATATTTCTGATGGTGTTAGGAACAACTTTGGCAGAGAAAGCTGAAGATCTCTCTGCCTGTCCTCCGCTTCCTTTTTGGAAACAGATGGTGAATCCTCCCACCAAAAGTCTTCCTCCGCTGTAATTGGCTGGCCTTTTAGAGACTGCAAGTGGAGAGGGGAGAGCAGGTGTGCTCAGCGCATGGCAGCATTGGTGCGCATATACAGGCAAGGGAGATGTGCGAGGTGGGAGTAAGGCTCACACCAGCGAGTCTGTTTCAAGGCATGTGGGAAATTTGGCCCAACTCTATCATTGGTGGGGTTCATCACAACATGAGGAACTATATTAAGGGGTCACGGCATTAGGAAGGTTGAGAAACACTGCTCTAAAGTCAACTCCACATTGTGTCAACAGTAATGTTATATCCTAAGGTTAAAAAAAAGGAATGGATCAACCAGCATCCTATTTCCCACTGTGGCTATTTAGACGCATGTGACAAATCAACAAACCTGTTATCTCCCACTGGCTGCTGACATATGTTGTCTCAACATCTCATAGACATTATAACATGACCAGAAGCCCTTCCCCACCATGAATCTGACTACTCCTTCCCTTTCAAAATTATCTACGTTTGCAGGCATTGACACATCTTATGGCACCAAATTCTATAGTTTATCTAAACAACTTGCGAAATACTTTCATTTATCTTGAACATTTATCTTAAACCTCCAATGCATACCTTGTTCAAAGCTATTTCAACAATAACCTTGAACATGTTAACATAGCAACTCATAAAATAAGTACATATCTATATAACTTGCCTGTGTCTGGGGGTATACTGCCTGAGTGAAGTCAGTGGAGAAGCAGTAGGCTTGAAAGTAGGTGATGTAAAACCATTGATAAATCCAGTATTTGGAAATGGCGTTACCTATTGAACAGAAATACTGATGAGTAAATAGTGGTAACCCTGGGACTCTCAGAAGCCCCAAATCCTCTGATTTCTCAGTTAGATGTTTCTGCCATTTCCCTGAGAAGAATATCACACTTATGCTTGTAGCATTATAATGCTTGGAGACTATGGTTACTCTGAACAATTTCCATGCTTATTGATACTTCCTCTACAACTTTTTTTTTTTTGGAAATATGGTCGTTGGAACTGTTATGATAATCTCAAAGTTATCTCAAGTACTTTTTGAAGCTCCATGCATGAAAATGCACCAGTATTATAGAGCTATATATTTAATTTAAGATGCGCTATTAACACAAAACAAATATCTAAGTAACAAAGACACCATGCCAAGTACTTACCAGTGATGGATCAAGATAGCTGTGGGTTGTTGACCATGTCTGTGGGGCAATTAAACTGTACAGTGGAAATTGCTGTTGTGGGCTATATACTGGAGGTAAATAAAATGATGTTGTATAACGCTGTTGTGTGTAGATGTTCATGTCCAGAGGTCTGTATCCGTTCTTTGGCAAAAATGTATTTATAGCTATAGCTTTTGCTTTTATTCTTGCCTAAAAGACACAAAAATATTTCCTTAGATTTTACCTAAAGGATTTTCCCACAAGTATTTACAAGTTGTGCTTAATCTCAAAAGTTACCTTAATTGGTTTTCCTTGAAATGTTTTCACTTCTTCTCTAAGGTACCTATATGCCTTTAAAAGTAAGAGGAAAATCAGTAGGAAATAATAATATTGGCACAAGCATCAGTAACTCTTCTGTATATAGGGAATATACCCAAATATAATTCAACCATATAGTAGATTAGAGCCAGGTCTCCAAAACTTTATGTTTGATTTAATTCTTAATACAGGTGGTCCACAAGTCATTAACAAGGTTTGTTCTTAAGTTGAATTTGTATGCAAGGCAGAACAGGTACATTTTTAAGTGTAACTCCAGCCAAATATATAAATATATTAGCTTTGGATTGAATAGTGAAGGGTTAATACCCCTGTAGTGTTTGTTTTGCTGCCTGCGCCCTTGTTCAGATAATTTCACCTCACTTTCTGTTCCTGTGAGAATTGCATTTTGTAATTCGAGGATTTCCTGTACTTCAAAAAATAATTTAGAACCAGTTGAAAGCCATTGGAACCAATTTTGCACATTCAACTTTGGATGAAATCAATCAGACCCTATTGTTAAACACCTTGAATAGGTGGAATTATGACGATATGTTCTGCTCAGCAGTCTACCTGCTTCATTTTGCATGATGTGAAACTTCCAAACTGTCTTCAAAGACAGCCCCATCCACAGTACATTGCAGTAGTCTAACTGCAAGTGCGTGGACTACTGTGGCTAATTTATCTTTGGCCAGGAACGGCATTTGCTTCTAGGATATTCAAAGCTGGCACAAGCATTCTAAGACAACTGTATTTCATCTGCAATGAAACAGAAACCCAAGTTGATTCAATAGGCCTAATTCAGTAGAGTCTAGCAATTGGATTTAAGCTGCAAAAACATTTTGTTCTTAAGTATGAACACTGCGCAACTCTGCACAACCACGTGACATCTTCTTGGCACTAAGTATTTTGTATCTTCTGTATAAATCATGTAGTATGCAGCCACATCTCTGTGGAGGTTTATTCACATCGCTTCAGCAAAGATTGCCCCAAAAGAAGTACTTGAAGAGAATTGGTAAATACATACCTGTTGTGCATCTGCTTCAGACTCAAATGTAATAAACCAGTTGTCATTATAGGCAAATTCACAGTTGATGAACTTAGGCAAGTTTTCTCCCTTGAAGAGTGCTTCAACCTCCTAAGGAAACAAGATTTGGGTAGATGTGTAAGCACAAATTGCCAAATATAATTGAAGATTATTTCAATATAGAGCTGAACAACAGTTTTGCTAGTACTGTACTAAACATAAAAGTATCTAGAAGATACACATCATTTTCAGAAATGGCTAGGGCAACAAAACAGCCTAGCATTCTAGATAACATATCCTTTGTAACTACAGAACTACCTTCAAATCCATGGGGAATACTGTCCTGGAATTCATGTGGAAAGAGCAAACTCTATTGAAATTAAGGACTTCTGGTCCAAGAATAACATGGAATTGTACTGGAGGATCATGAAAATGCCTAAAGAGGTCATGTTTTCTTGGACATGGATAAATGTAATCACAGATACGTAGGTTGCATGGCACTATCAATTTTGTGCACAGGAACCAATTTTAAAATTTGATGTCATGGCCTTAATGCAATTTTTAAAGGAAAGAAGTTAGTAAAATGTTTGAATGGACACTAAGTCTCACAAACAATACTACCTTACCTCTTCCTTCTTTTACAAAAGCATCTGCCTACTAGGTTGGAACAGTGCTATTCAATTAGTGGTCCATGGACTTAAGTTGCAAACCATTGATGGGTTTTCCAGCAAGAAAGAAATAATTATAGCCAATGAGAACAAATATGGCGTCTTTCCTAATCACACTGAGGAGTAAATTCCCTGCTGATACCCACAGATTGCCTAAGAAGCACTATGTTAGATGATACTCTGGAAAACTGTAGACTATTTCCTAGCAAACTGTATTTAGTAGCCAGAATCCTGTTGTTAGCTTTGGCTGGAGCAGTGTTTCTCAATCTGGGGGTCAGGACCCCTGGGGGGGGTCTTGAGGGGGTGTCAAAGGTGTCAAAGAAGACCATCAGGAAATCCTATTGTTCATGGGGTTCAGAATGCTCTTTGATTGTAGGCTAACTATAAATCCCAGCAACTACAACTCCCAAGTGACAAAATCAACCCCCCCCCAAAAAAACCCCCACCAGCATTCAAATTTGGGCATATCAAAGTTTTGTGCCAAACGTTGTACAGTGAATGAAAATACATCCTGCATACCAGATATTTACATTACAATTCATCACAGTAGCAAAGTTACAGTTATGAGGTAGCAACAAAAATACTTTTATGGTTGGGGATCACAACATGAGGAACTGTATAAAGGGGTCATGGCATTAGGAAGGTTGTGAACCACTGGATTAGAATATGATTCACTTATCATTCAACAAGCATTTTAGTGGGTCTGCTCTAGTTGGGACAAACCAACAGAATTCCACCCATTTTTGTGTTTGCATGTGCCCAAGCATTCATTTCTACAAAGTGACTTTCCCAGCTCTTTGCAATCCATTCCACAGTCACAGCTCTCATGAATTGCCTCTTCTGTTCAAAAGCATTCCCCACTCTCTAAACATTCTTCTCAAGGTACAAAGGAGTAAGAGACATACTGAACAAGCAGTATTACACTTACATAATATTTAGATCTAGCCCATGTTTTTATTTATGCATGTAAGCGAATAAGATATAACTATGGGGCTCCGTAGGCAGCACAGAGGTACAAGGTACTTACTTCAATAGGAGTAGATTCAGGAACTTCTCGCAAAATCACAATGCAGCGATTCTGGTTTGGCCTGACTTTTTCACCTTTCTCGTCCACTTGGACTAAAGGTAATGCTGAGAGAATATATAATATAGTTGGCTTAGACAAAGTAAGATTTTGTATTCTATCTGCTATCCTCAAAATGCAGTTAGAAGGCTGCCTTTAATCTACAAACTGTTAACTCACACTTGCTGAAAAGCACAGATTTCTAATACTGTGAAATACTTAGCCCATTTCAGGGCTGAAAGACAAATACAGTTGGCACCAAGCAAGTCTTCCAGACTTGCCACCTATTTTTCAAACATTTGCTTATCACTTCCCTTCATGATGCCATGAGAATACACTCCTGGTACTCTCATGGCATGGCTCAGCCCTGGTGTGACATGTTTTTCTGTGTGAGAAAGTAAATAAAGCATGGTCAAACACTTTCTTTACCACGATAAAAATAGGTACATTCACAGAAGTAATGATTAAGCATTACAGTAATCATATCCTACATGACTTTTGTCTTCACATAAGGAGGCTCTGTCTGTGATGCAAAACCTTCAGATCCAATGAATGTAATCATAAAACTGCCAGATGTTTTGGGATCATTTGAAACCAACCATAAACAGGAGATCATCTGAAGCCAATCCCAAAGAAGCAGTAGTAAAGTAAAACCAATATAAGTGTTGTAAGCCTACTGAAGTGTTGTGTACTATAGGAGCCTGGGTTACTCCCTCTCTGCTCATATTGTGAAGGGAAATATAAACATGAGTATGAATGTGTTCAAATTAAGGAAGTTACAGAGCTACATGTGACTACAAGACATACCTTACTAGTAGCTCAGGAAGTCAGGTCTCCTTCTACACACTTACAATAAATAATGTGTTTCTCTGGTTCTTTAGACATACAATAACATTTACTAACTCATGTGTAAATCAGGGACACATGCATTGCCAGTTACTTACATCTCAGTACTTCAACAATTAAATCCAAATCAGTACTCAGTTTCTTTACGTGATCGAGGTTAGCTACTGTCATTATTGGCACATACTGATCACTGTCCATCTGAGAGATAAGGTACATGTCACTGGCAAGATTTTCTCTGTGAAAAGAAAACAGGAACATTAATGGTGAAGTATTTTCATTATGTAATTCATGTGCATATCAGTGTTATAGTTGCCTTCATTGATATATATGTTGGCGAAAAGAGAGGAAAAGTCACTTGTGGTCTGCCAAAATGGCAGCCATAATGACATAGCTCATGTAGAGTTGATAGATCATAAAAACAGCACTCTGATTAGCATATCAATTGCCTACATTTGATGGCTAATATCAACTACAGCAATCTATAGCTGAAAGATAAACTACTTATGTGATTTCCATTACATCAGTAGTCTACCAAAGTTGTTACTAGGAACTCTAGAGCTGAAAAAGATCCCAAGGGTAATTTAGGCCATAATTGTAAAATAGATACATTAATGTTACTTAATATTTCCTTAACTGACACATTCTTGGGTTTCGCACTTCTGGAGTTGTGCAAGAAAGACAGGACTTTACAGTACGACTAACCAAAAGGAATGCAGTCCACTATCAGGTATGTTCAGAACTGCTTTATATCCTCAGGCAGAAAGAAGGAGCACAAATGAGGAAACACACATAGTTAGCAAATATATATGCAGCTGATGGGGTGTTTAGCTTTCTAGGTGACTAACTATAAAGGCCTTATATTGCCTCTTGTTGACTCACATGATATTAATTAAATAATAACATAGTAACTGAGGTATGCCATAATATTTAAGAATAATATATTGCTCTAAATATATTAATGAGTAAGTCTAGAAATTTGAATAAAAAACCACCCATAACACCTGAGTTGGCTAATCCACAGGTCAAGGTAAATATTGTATCTTAATTTTTATGCAACAAGGAACCATCCCATTCTCTATAGAGTTGCAAAAGGCGAGAGCATAGTCCATGCAAAGAGAACCTCAAAATCACTGGCCTCCTCTATCCTCTCTGCCACAGCACTATGTCTGGCTTTTTTAATGTCTAGGAGGAAAAATGGTGGCAGTGGCTGGCTTCCTGAAGTTCTGCTGGTGTTTCCTTCTCTTTGAGGAATGACCCTCGACTTATACACAGATCATATCAAAATCTGTAATTCTGGTCCCTCTTCTCTTTTTCCCCTTCTCTTGTAGATATGTCACAATTCTCTTAAGCCTGCTCTCAATGGTTACTTTCCTCCAAAAACTAATCTATAACACACTTAGGAGGGGACTAACCCCTTTCTCTTAATAAGATTTGGTGGAAACAAAATCAGATTAAAAATTCAATTAAGAAACATACCTCTCATTCCTCATAGTGTTCCTCATTCCTATCTAAACTTCAAATTTTGAAAGTATCAATCTGTTGGCTTGCCACTGTCCAGTGATGAATTTTCAAGACTGTTTAGCTTCTGAGTGGTTATAAATAATTTCCCATTGAAAGGCAAATACAACAGCTGCATGCACTACTGAGTAACAACTACCTTACTCTTACCTAGATAAACAAAATTCCAGTGTTTTCTTAAGCACTTCTCGCAAATCTTCTTGACCTTCTGGCTGCAGCTGCTCTTTACCACCTGGAAAATATAAAGTCAACCTAAATCAAGACATAGAATCATAGAGTTGAAAGAGACCTCATGAGCCATCCAGTCCAACCCCCTGCCAAGAAGCAGGAAAATTGCATTCAAAGCACCCCCGACAGATGGCCACCCAGCCTCTGTTTTAAAGCCTCCAAAGAAGGAGCCTCCACCACACTCTGGGGCAGAGAGTTCCTCTGCTGAACAGCTCTCACTGTCAGGAAGTTCTTCCTAATGTTCAAATGGAATCTCCTTTCTTGAAGCTATTTTTCTGAGTCCTAGTCTCCAGGGCAGCAGAAAACAAGCTTGCTCCTTCCTCTCTATGACTTCCTCTCACGTATTTATACATGGCTATCATGTCTCCTCTCAGCCTCCTCTTCTTCAAGCTAAACATGCCCAGCTCTTTAAGCTGCTCCTCATAGGGGTTGTTCTCCAGACCCTTGATCATTTTAGTTGCCCTCCTCTGGACACATTCCAGCTTGTCAATATCTCTCTTCAATTGTGGTGCCCAGAATTGGACACAATATTCCAGGTGTGGTCTAACCAAGGAAGAACACAGGGGTAGCATGACTTCCCTGGGTCTATACTCCTACTGATACAGGCCAAAATCCCATTGGCTTTTTTTGCCGCTGCATCACATTGTTGGCTCATGTTTAACTTGTTGTTCACAAGAACCCCAAGATCTTTTTCACATGTACTGCTCTCGGGCCACACATCCCTCATTCTGTATCTTTGCATTTCATTTTTTCTGCCTAAGTGGAGTATCTTGCATTTGTCACTGTTGAACTTCATTTGCTAGTTTTGGCCCATCTCTCTAATCTGTTAAGATCATTGTTTTGAGGATTTTCTTTTAATATTTTGAAGCTGGTGATAGCAGTATCCACATATGCAAAATCTGTGGATATGGAGGGCCGGCTGTTTTCAAAGATCCCAAAACTCCAAAAATTCAAAACTCTTCTGGATCCAAGTTTTTTAGGTAAGGAATACTCAATCTCTATATTGGATCTTTATTTATTTCTAGTAGGAGTAACTTTAAGAAAACACGCAGACTAAGCTATGTAACTGTTTGAATAGGGTTCAGTTGTATGTATGGTATCTGGAAGCAGTCAAGAGGTCCTCAAGTATTCAATTGTTTGGCTTTGCTAGGCACACCCTTTGCATATTCACTGTATCAATTCTTATTTTTATGTTTCAAATATGCTGTGGTAAAGAAAGAAAGTGAAACAAGTATACAAGACAGTAACATATCTGTCAACTAGTAACAGTAAAGCTCTTCAGACAAATGTTAAGCTGTTTCTTTGGGTCTTATTAAAACAAGAGGACTGGAGAGCTTTAAACTGATTCTGGTGGACTGTATAAACCAGGCAGGGGCAAACTTTGGCCCTCCTGGTGTTTTGGACTTCAACTCCCACAATTCCTAACAGCCTATCGGCTGTTAGAAATTGAGGGAGTTGAAGTCCAAAACACCAGGAGGGCCAAAGTTTGCCCATGCCTGGTATAAACTGTTCTAGAAAGTGCCCCATGTGTGGAATTTAGAGTCAAAACTAACAGTGCAAAAACTGAAGTACTTAGAAAACTTATAAAAAAAATCTTCTATCCAGAAGAAAATCTAACTGAGTTCAATGACACATACTCTTCACATAAATGTGTATAAGACTGCACATAAATGTGTATAAATGTGTATAAGACAGTACCAAAATTACAGTTATGAAGCAGCCATGAAAATAATTTTATGGTTGGGGGTCACCACAACATGAGGAACTGTATTAAGGGGTCGTAGCATTAGGAAGGTTGAGAAACACTGGAGGGATACTAGATGGGTTCAGAATGTCATTCTGATCTAGAACAAGGTGCAATAAAAAAGAATTTTGTTCTTGTAATCACACTATATGAGTCAAATATTTGACACCTGCTTCAGAACAGTGTTCAGCATCACACTTTAAAAAAATGAAAAACAAATCTGGTCATTCAGGCAGAAATGGAAGCCTCAGGCTATAGATAATAGCCAGCATGGTTGTGAAGTTGCAGTGGTGCAGTGAGCACATTTCCAGTGCCTATTTCCTGCATCACTTTGTCCTTCTCTATCAGAAACAAATGCAGATTTACATAAAATATGCTGATTTATAAAAAGTGAATAACATGAACAGATGATAGAATTCAACTAGTCTTAAAACTAGTAATGCACATTTGATTAAGTTATTGAAATAAACTACAGACAGCAGGCACTTTTATTATACAACTAAAATATGCAACGTAACATCATAGAGACTTCAGGAGAAATTCAAAGAAATTGGTGGGGAGCCTCACTTGAGGAAGTAGCAGCTTGGCTCTCAAGGCAAATTCCTTTTTTCTGTTGCTAATGAAGTTGAAAGATTCTTGCCTAGATGTTGCAGCTCTTGGCCTCCCAGTGCCCTCATAGCTGAAGAGAGAAGTGATCTCTGCCCATCTTAATATCCTTCCAGATCATTTTAAGTGACAACAAAAATATCTCAAAAAATGTAGGCCTGCAAGGATTCTCATGATTTTTTACAATAAAGATGAAATCTTATTGACAATTATTTTATCTGAAGATCATTTTCTTACCTGTTTGAGTGTTTTCATGCATAGAATCATACTCTGAATGCTCTAAAGCCAAAGGGTTCATATCTGTTTGGTCTGATAATGGAGCTGTTAGTGATGGCTCTTGTAGTTCAGTTAACGATTCATTCTGGTGCTTTTTGTCACCATCCCCATTGGCTTCCAGCCCTACCGAGAAAACGTGAAGAGTCACAAACCAAATCCTTCACTTATTTGGAACCAGACATGACAAATATTTTTTCTGAATAACTGCCAGAAGGATAGCTAGGTTGTATTTCTTAATGCAGGTGATCAAGTACCTCATTGTCTTATATACATATTAGTCCTTAATAGTGGTTGTTACATTGCTATTAGAACCCAAAGTGTCTTTCAGGAATTTGCTATAACCATAAACTGATGGCAGATGGGTAGGCAGAAAGGCAGTCTTTCTCTTTTCTAAAACAGGTCCATTACACAATGATCGTCAAAGCCCTTAAGGCTGAAACAGACTTAATTTGATTTTGTTATCAAGGAAGAAAGTGGTCTGCACAGCCCCTCTTCTGGTGTATAGGTTGCTTTCATCAGCTGGAAAGACTACTATGGGTAAATTACTAGATCACTGGTTTAAAATAATATCGCAGACAAGAGTAAAGGAAAACCTTGAATAGATTTATCAAGTTACAGGCAGCTACATCTGAATTAAACTCTGATTAAAACTAATCATACAATTAGAGTTATGATTAGGCAAATAGGACATATTACTAACTTAATCTGCACTGAATCCACTGTTAAGCATGACTAAGTTTTATCCAACCAAAACATCTTTCTAAAACTGCTGTTTGTACCTTCTTTGCAGGAATCTGGGGGATGATCCGGTATTTCTTCCCAGTTTTTGCTCACACTGCCATCAGCAGCACCACTTGCTTCCACATGTAACATATGATTCCCCCATACTTTTGCATTAGGATTTAACTCAGAAACCTTGGCTGACTCCTAGAAAACAGAAGTACGTTTTGTGGATTAGAGTTTGAAACAGATGTTTTATAAAGAAAGCAACAAGGCATTTGCTCTATCTCTTTTTATCAATTTGTTTCCCCATGAGTGAAGACATCCCTGTAATTAGTAAATGCTCCACTGAAGTGGTGCCCGACATGTACTATACACTACTGATTATTTTAAACAGTCCCTTATGTCTGCTCTCAACAAGGTATTACCCTAACTTAATTGTTGAGGAAAAAATGGATAACCATCAGCATATGTGTATATTCTGAAAAGTTTTGAAGAAATTCACCAACACTTACTCGGATTACAACTTTGCTCTTCTATTTCTTTCAGTGGTTCCCAACCTGTGGACCACCAGTGGTCGGCAAGAACTACAATATGGTCCACTGCCTCACCATTACTACACCGTTACAAGAGTGACTGGTCTCGCAAAACCCTCTTATAGTGCCGTCTTATTAAATATGGTTTTCTGTGGGTGAGCAGATGGCAACTATTGGATGGCATATGTTCTGTATCAGAAACTAGAACTGATGTGGTCTATCCAATGCAATTTTCTGAATCAGCACCCCAAATAACCAAACAGAATCTAAAGTTGACCAAAAACTGATTTGTAACCTTTTTGCTACTAATATTGGAGACTTGCATGGCTACAGGTTAAAACTACTTCTTTCCATGGGAAAGAACACCTTGGTCAAAGTGGTCCCTGGTCAAATAAAGGTTGGGAACCACTGGTTTACATGATAAAGTGACTTCCATTGAAGTCCCTTCAATACATACCTTCAGCAACACTGCTATGTTCTCCCAATACCCACAATATGCCTTTTCCTTACACACATGTAAGGGCTTTGTACTGAATGGTATTCCTAAGGGGTCCCAACTCCCACCATTAGCTGGTTTTCATAGGACACATGGGGAAAGGAGGTGAGTGAACGTTCTACCCCATTTATGGCGCCGAAGGCAAAACTTATGATTTCATATTTATGAATGAATCCATCCCCCCTTTCTCTTCTAAATGGGTGTGATAACTCTATAAATGTGGAATGATGATTACAATGAAACATATATTTAAGAAAATAACAGCCAGTAGTAAAAAAAAAAAAAAAAGAGTGCGGATTAAAGCTAAAAGGATTCTAAGCATGAGAACAGAAGTCAACAATAACTATAATCCTTTGAATAGCCCTGTAAAGTTACTGTATATACTCAAGTATAAGCCTAGTTTTTCAGCCCTTTCTTGTTGGCTGAAAAAACCCCCCTCGGCTTATATTCGAGTCAAGGTTTTTATTTTACCCTGTTTGAAATACATAATAAATGTTTTGTTATTACTGTTATTATTACATTAATTATTCTACTTTATTATTGTTTTTATTATTACATTTATTATTTTACTCTATTATTACTGTTATTATTACATTTCCATTATTTTACCCTATTATTATTATTAATATTATTACATTTATTATTTTACTCTATTTTTATCGGAAGGATATGCAAGCTCATTTACATTGAAGAAAGTTAGAATAATGGTTTAATCAGAGTTCCACAGTCTTATCTTAAATTATAGTTTTATGTAAATATTCAAAACATTTAACCTACTGATGCCTCAATTAATGTAATTGTATTGTATCTATTTTTATTTTGAAATTTACCAGTAGCTCCTGCATTCTACCCTCGGCTTATACTCGAGTCAAAACGTTTTCCCAGATTTGTTTGGTAAAATTTGGTGCCTCGGCTTATATTCAGGTTGGCTTATACTCGAGTATATACGGTATATTAAAACCTATTTTCACATTGCACATGATGTGAAATAGAAAGCTGTCTATCACCCAAGAACTCGTGTGCAAATGGCAGATTGAACAAGCAACCCTTAGGTTCACGCTACAGCTATCTTACAGTGGAAATTAAACTGCAACCTGGACAGGAATTTTAAAATAATGTATTTGGGACACGTGTCTATCAAGACAACAACAGGTTATAGAACGTATGTTTATGCAGAAGCAAAGCCACTTGTAGCTCACATTCCTGGCCACAAAGGTAAATTAATAAAATATATTACTTCATTAAAATGTTTGCTATAAAAAAGTAGGGCCTGGCCAAGATTGAAGTCATCTTATTGATATTAGTTTATTTTCACTCTCAAACTAAACCAAAGCTTAAATTCTGACATGCAAACATTCCATCTTCTGAAACCGTACCAAGTTCTGGATGTGAAAATATTGAAGGAAGCAGAAATTTAACACCTTATAAAATGGCAAGACAGAAGTTGAAAGATAATGCAAGGCTAATGTTAACATTGTTCAGGTTGCACTGGATTTTTTGTGTTGCCATTGCTTTGAAAAGAGATGAATATGAACAGAAGGAAGGAGAGACAAATGTGCATGGATGCATATACACACTCCACATACAAACACTAACTATTGGTATAAAGAGCCCCTTGCTCTGTGTTGAAACAGCTTATAGTTGGATATCAGTAATACATTTACATATTAACATTTTCTATATTCGGTCAACATGATATATCTTAAGTGAGTGTGCTATACAACCATGTTTAAAAATCTAGTAACTATATAGCTGTGATAAATAAACCTATTTATCCTCTTAAAGAATTCAGTCCTGAATTGACTGGGAATCTTAAAAGACTTATTTGGGAATATTTCTAATAATAATAACTTTATTCTTATACTCTGCCACTATCATCCCAAAGGGACTCGGGCTGGCTTACATCTGGGTCAAAATGCCCATAACGCATAAAAGCAAAACAAATCATTATAGCAAAAATACAATTAAAGATAATAGTAAAATGTAACAATTCAGATAAAAACACAATTAAATAAAACATAAGAATATAAAACAGCAGAGATGAAACTCAAAACAATGCTCAACAAAACCAATAACCAGTAATACAGTGGACACGACTAGGCTATTAAAAAGTGCCAGGAATGGGATTGTGCAAAACAGTGTACCATAGGACTGGGGTACAGGATGAAGTACAGAGAATGATATATTATCAGGCGACCTAGGGATTGGGCATTTATAACTAGAGACTAGCCATTCTCAAATGCTAACTGAAACATCCAGGACTTCATATCCCTGTGAAAAGAGGACAGTGTGGGGGCTTGCTACAATACATTTTATGTGTGCCACTTTGACTTATGCCTCCCTTTTTTAACAAAGACTATCACATGCATGACAAAACAAATTAGATTATTTTTAAGCAAAGTAGATCATCACAAAGGATTGAGAGAAGCTGCTAGTACTACCTAGCCATTAATGATAAATGCTATAGATCAGTAGTTCTCAACTTCTGAGTCCCCAGATGATTTGGCCTTCAACTCTCAGAAATCCTAACAGCTGGTAAACTGGCTGGGATTTTGGGAGCTGTAGACCAGAACAACTGAATACCACTGTGATAGAAATTCAACCTGGAAATGAGGCAGCAAGTCTATAGGGTTCTTTGGCAGCCCAAGAGCAAGACAGATACCACAATGTCAGCAGAGGAATAACTATTTACAGACATTGGTGGAAAAATTGTCACATCATCCGGCTATGCCGAATTCTAAGTGTGCCCTGTCAAAAGCAAATTTATAATAACTTAATTAAGACATGCTCAAGATTGAAGTACTATTGATACTATTATACAGAATGTTTATACGCCACTGCACTTCTTGAGGAAATTGCTTACACAGGATTCATGTCACCTCCTCCACAAATGAAGGAAAAGCAACCATATAGCTCATGGTTTGGTTCTGTACATTCTTGGTAGATGCAGTTTGATGTATACACGTATTTGTGTATCAACACTGATCTGCTCTGTGACAAAGAAAATGCTGTCAGTATCAATAAGTCACAGGTCTAAGATGTTAGAAGCTCTTCTCAAATTTAAAGCACTGTTGGGAAGGACTTATTCAGTTTTATCCAGTCACCTCTTGTTTAGATCCTCACCTGCTTCTGCAAACAATTACTTGTCATGAAAGCCTACAAGCTATATAAAGGAAATTTGGAAATTTTCATACTTAAGCCACCATAAGAGAAGTGTAAGGATGGTAACATGATTTACTTTCCTATAAGGATTGCCTAAAATATACTACAGTTCAAGTCCAATATGTTATAAGTAAATTCACATATTAAGATGGCAGGAAGAAAATACGCCTGTCACAAAATGGGTATCTAGATGCTCCTAGGCATGAGTCCTTAGTTTTAACAACTGAAAGAAATGGAGCTGGATACTGGAGGGAAACTGCATAATTCCACTTGTGCAAAATACATTTTTCTAGTTTCTCTTCTGCTCTACTCCCAAGCACTATTCCAAAAAACTGGACTTGAGATTCTGGAAATATCCATGAGAATATGACAGGATAGTAAACAATTCAGCTTCCACGGGCAACATCTTGCTTCTGCATATATTTTGTCATTCAAGTTTCTTAGTTTCAGATAATTCTTTAAACCAAAATCTTTAAAATTAAGGCTCAAACCACACCTCATGAAGGAAATTATGACTGAAAAATACTTACACAGTCTCCATCTCTACTCTGCCATCCCCAAATATCACTGTTTTGTTGCATTAGCAATTGGTAAGGGTATTTTCCTGGATCCATAGAAGGAGAAGGCAGCTCTTGAGCCTGATTTTGGAGTGCTTCACTCATAGCGTATGCACTATCAATTTTGTTAAAAGACGAATTCATCCATAAATATCCCATCAGATATTCCTGATCATCAGTAAGGTTGGTGGCTGACAGCAACCTACTTAATGGAGCAGACTGACACAGTGGATGCACCAGATGTAAATTATCCATATCATCTTGACAGTCACTTATATCCATTTTGTGTATACTAGTAGGCTCATTTAAAATGTCTTCCATCAGATCTAATACATGCTTTTCATTGCCAGGCTCAGATTCTTGGCCATTAACAGATGCAAGAGGTATTTCATATGAAGGAGTAGCAGCATACTTATCTACCTGCGTGGGATCAATGCAAACTCTGTCTGCATCTTC